AAAAAAAAACTCGAGACAATCATGCAAAATTTATGAGTTTAAAAGTATCAGCATAAGTATTTATCTTCGCTTTCGCGACCGATAGTGTATAACTAATTCGTGTATAGTCATTTCTAGATATGCATATGTGCGTCAAGTGTGTATATGTATAATATGCGTATGTATCTTGTCTCGCATTGACGAATTCCGTCGAAACGCGAAGGTAAATACTTGTACTGATAAAATCGTACTCCCCTGCTGATACATTTACATCACGATATAAATATAATATCCGCGCATTCTAACAAATTTATATAACGGTTTATATACGAGTGCACTAGGACTTCCGGTTGTGAGGTGAGTGAGAGTAGACGGTTTGCGGATAGTAGATTTAAAATTGAGGGATTAGGGTGCTGTAAGATTTTGTGTGTGCCCTGCGGGGAGTTACTGTTGCAGGCGACAAGAGTCGTGAAACCTTGAAGCTGGGCAAAGAGACAGCTCGTTATTCGTCAGGAAGGCGAGCCTTTCCATGGGATAAGTCGAGGCCGGTTTTCTAACCTCTAAACGTCACACCTGTCATCAGCGGGAAGACGGTAGGGAGGGAGAGCAGAAGGTGGAAGAGCCGGTGGATAGAAGTGGAAGAGAAGGAATTCGGTGGGTGTCACGGAGATCTGTGAAAAGAAGAAACATACAGACAAAGTATCATCTGGGAACCGCATGGTCTAGGAGGTGTCCTGCGCAAGCGCGAAATTGACACGCGGCGGTGACGTGGTTTCCGGTGGAATAGTGAGAGAGAGAGAAAGAGAGAGTGAGTGAGAGAGAGTGAGGGAGGGAGGGAGAGAGAGAGAGAGAGAGAGAGAGAGGAGAGAGAACCTACCGAGCAACCGGTTTCGAAAAGCGAAGAAAATCGACGTGCGCGGCAATTTAGTATAGCGAGAACGAGGCGGATAGGTAGACGAGGAGCGCCGCGCATGCACAAGGAACGGGCATGGAAGCGAACGGAGGGGTATGAGTGAGAGGTCGGGAAGGGAGAGTGAGAAAGAAGACGCTTTAATCGGTCAGAGTGAGACAGGGGGGACGAAGGTAGAGAGGTGGTTAGCGGTGGGAGGTAGGTGGGGTGAAGGCAGTGAGGCAAGGAGTAGGGAGCAGCAGAAACTCGACGACCGGAGCGACGCGGGGAAGGGAAGGAGAGGAAGACCAACGAAGGCTGAGAGCTTGGGAAGAGGTAGAAGGGATAGTAGTGGTAGCATAGCCTCGCTGTGGTCTAAAAGAGGGAGAGAGAGCGACTCTGAACACGAGTTGGAGGAAGAGGGAGAGACGGTGAAGGGTGTGAAACGAGTGAAGGAAAATTTGAGCATCGACGACGAAACCCAGGAAGGAAAAAGGGAAGATAGGATGGATGAAATAGAGAGAATGATGAGGAAGCTGCTGAAGGAAACAAAGGAGGAAATTTTGAAGAAATTAGAACAAATAGGGGAAGAGATAAGAAAGGAAGTAAGAAAGGAAATGAAGGATGAAATAAGGAAAATAAGAGAAGAGGGAGAAAAGAAAGGAGAGAAAGTGGAGCGTGAACTGGAAGAAATGAGAAAAAAGGTACAGGAGATGGAGAAGAAAAGAACAGATCAAGAAAGAAGAGAGAGAAGATTAAATATTGTAATAAGGGGGGCTGAAATTAAAGGGGAAAATGTAAGAGAGGCAGTGGATGGAGTGTTTGAGAAACTAGGAGTGAGGGAGAAAGCGATACAGTTGAATGAGGTGTATAAAGTAAGAGTGAAAGAAAATGAATGCCTGATAGTGGCGAAATTGAGAAGTATGGATGATAAGAGAATGATCATGGATAAAAAGAGTAGGTTGAAAGGAACGAGAGTGTATGTTGATGATGATATGACGAAGAGTGAAAGAGAGAGACAGAGCGAGATTAGAAAATGGGCGAAAAATGAGAGTGAAAAAGGTATGCGTGTGAAAGTAGGGTTTGGTAGGGGATGGATAAATGGAAAAGAGTATGTATGGGAGGAAGAAAGAAGGTGTATGTGTGAAAGGGTTTTTTAGAGAGTGCTTACAAGATGGGGAAACGGGAAGAATGGAAAGCAGAGGGAGGGAGAGTAAGGAGCATGCAAAAGAGAAAGGGAGAAAGCGTGGGGGGTATTGAGAGAAGAGTAAGAGCAGTAATATGGAATGTGGCGGGTCTGAAAAAGAAGGATGAGGAATTTTGGAAATTTTTGATGGACTATATATAAAATAATCGGGCTGGTAGAAACGTGGGTGGATGAAAAAGAGTGGGAAAGGTTGGAAAGGAAGATGCCAGAGGGGTGGAAATGGAGATGTCAGCCGGCCGAGAAAGATTGTAAGAAGGGACGAGCGAAAGGGGGAATCGTGACTGGCGTGAGAAGGGAATTGGAGGAAAAGGAAGTTGGGTATGAGGAGAAGGAAGGGTTGCAAGAAAGAGAGGTAGTGATAGATAGAGAAAGGTGGAGGTTTATGATGGTGTATAATAGAGAGGGACGGAAAGAAGGGCTGGAAAAAATGAAAGAGGTGATAAGAGAGGATAATGAAGGAAGGTTAGTAATAGCGGGGGACTTTAATGCTAGAATAGGAAAGGAAGGAGGGTGGGGTGAGCTAAGCATGGAAAGGGGGGAGACGAGCGAGAAGGAGAGGGAATCTAAGGATAAAATGATTAATAAACAAGGACGGGATTTGATGGAGGTGATAGAGGAAAGAGGATGGATGGTGCTAAATGGCAGCAAGGAAGGAGACGAGGAAGGGGAGTGGACCTATGAAAAAGGGGGAGGGAAGTCGGTGATTGATTATGGGATAGTAAATTGGGAAGCTTGGAAGAGAGTAGAAAGATTTGAAGTAGTGTGTAGGGTGGAATCGGACCACCTGCCAATTGTAATAGATTTAGGGAGATGGTATGAAAGAGGGGAGGGGAGAGAAGAAGAAGAAAGGGTACAGGATTGGTCAGGTGAGGGTGTACGGAAATTTCGCCAGGCATTAGGTAAGATTGAATGGAAAGGGGAAGGGGTACAAGAGGCGTGGGAGGAGTTAGAGAGAGAAGTAATTGGAGCGGTAGAGTGGAGAAGTAAGGTGAGGAGGAAAGGGATAGGGTGGTGTCCATGGTGGGATTCAGAATGTAGGGAGAAAAAGAGAGAAATGCATAAGGCGAGGAGAAGGTATAGGAAAGAACAGGTAGAAGGGCGGCATGAAGAGTTTGAAAGATGTAGGAAGGAATATAGAGAGTTATGCGAAAAGAAACAAGAGGAACAAAAGAGGAAGGAGGAAAAGGAGGTGGAAAAAATAAGAACGGAAGCAGAAGCGTGGAAATTCATAAATAAGAGGAGGAAGAAAAAGGAGAATGTATGCGGAAATATTAAAATGGAGGAATGGGTAAAGCATTTTATGGAAGCTCTAGGCGGGGTGGAGGAAAGAAAAGTGGAGGTGGAAGGAAGAAGGGGAATAAATAGGACGGAAGACGAGGGAATAGGAGAGGAGGAGATACAAAATGAAGTAAGAAGGTTGAAAAAGGGTAAAGCAGCTGGGATAGACCAGATAAGAAATGAAGCATGGAAGGAAGGAGGAGAAAAAGTGGGGAAAAGATTGGGAGAGGTGCTAAAGATGGTATGGGAGGGGAGAGGATTTCCTGAGAGATGGAGGGGTGGAGTGGTAGTTCCGATATGGAAGAGAGGAGAGAGAAGAGAGCCGGGGAATTATAGAGGGGTTACAATGACGAGCACGGGATATAAAATATATGCGAATATCCTGAATCGAAGATTAGTAAAAGAAATGGATGAACAAGAAGGGTGGTGCAGGACGCAAGCTGGTTTCAGGAAAGGAAGAGGTACCGTGGAGAATGTAAAGATATTAAAACATATAATAGGGAGGAAGATAGAAAGGAAGAAGAAAGTGTGGGCATTCTTTATGGATCTGAAAGGAGCTTTCGATAGAGTGGATAGGAAGGTGTTGTGGGATATGATGAGAAAGAGAGGAGTGAGCGAAGGATTAATAGATAGAGTAAGGGAGGTTTATGAGGAGACTTGGTGCGTGGTGAGGGTAGGACAGAAAATGTCAAAAAAATTCTGGGTGGAGAATGGAGTGAGGCAGGGTTGCCCGATGAGCCCGACGCTCTTTAATATATACATGGCGGATATTGAGGAAGAGTTAAAGAAAAGAAATGGAGGAGTTAAGGTGGGAAATGAGAAGGTATGGTCAATAGAGTACGCGGACGATATTGTGTTGATAGCAGAGGAAGAAGAAGGTCTCAGAGATATGATAAGGGGGGTAAAAAAGTACTTAGCAGAGAAGAAATTAGAGTTGAGTGTGGGGAAGTCGAAGGTGATGGTCTTCAGGAATAAAGGAGGGAGGGAGAAGGAAAGATTCTGGTGGTGGGGGGGAGAAAGAATAGAAGAAGTGAAGGAATACAAATATTTGGGATACGTAATGACTAAGTGTGGAGGAGAAAAAGAGCACGTAAGAGAGAGGATAAGAAGAGCAAGAGTGGCAATGGGATGGATATGGAGTTACGGAGAGAGAAAATTTAAGGGAGATGTAAAATGGAAACTAAAACTCTTTGACAGTATAGTGAAAGGAATTTTATTTTATGGGGTAGAAGTGTGGGGATATAGGGAATGGAAGGAGGTGGAAGCGGTGCAGGAGAAATACTTGAAGTGGATTTTAGGTTTGGACAGGGTAACACCAGGGTATATAGTGAGGGAGGAACTAAAAAGGAATAAACTGAGGGTGGAAACGGGTTGGAGGGCTGGAAGGTTTGAAGAGAAATTAGAAAAAGGGAAGGGAGGAGAAATAGGGATGAAATGTATGGTTGAGAAAAGAAAAGAGGAGAGGGAGAAGAAGAGGTGTGAATGGCCAAGGGAGAGTTTAGAAAGGGGAAACTATTTATGGAGGGGTGGTATGAGCGAGCTTGCGATGAGAGAATGGGGAGAGAATAAATGGGAACGCTTGAGGGAAAGAGACATAGAAGTAGATGAACAAGAGAGAGGGGAGGAAGTGAGGAGGTCAAGGTCGTGTAAGGGGTATGAAAGGGTGAATGGATTACCAAGGTATATATGGGTGTGTAAGAGAAATGAGGGGAAGAGGTTGGTAAGGATAGCTAGGTGGAGATGTGGGAATGAGGAAAGAGGGAATAAGTATTGGATGAGTGAGGAGGAGAGAAAGTGTAGGTTGTGTGGACGAGAAAGAGAAACAGTTGAGCATCTGAGGAGGGAGTGTGACTATGTGAGGGAAAAGGGAGAAAGAGGTGTGGATGTATTAAATGAGGATGGGAGAGGAATCGGATGGATGAAGATGATAGAGAGGTTGAGAAAAGAAAGAGAAAGAGAGAGAGAGAAAGAGTGAGTGAGTGAGTGAGTGTAGATGGATGTCTATCGGATGGATATTGTATATGGTAGTGAAATTTTTTAATGTCTATTTGTACTGAATAAGATGTAGTGGAATTGTAATGGAAGTCATGTAAGCACTTAATGTGGATGCATAAATAAATACATACATACATATACGAGTGCACTAAATAAATAAAATGAATATAGAATTAATAATATTAGGTTGTCCGGAAAGTAATTTCGTTTTTTTTAATGAAAATAATAGTGAATAAATATTTTATTGAATTATATATTGTCCATTCTGGTCCAATACTTTTTGCCATCTTTCTGGCAGTAGCATGATTCCACGCTCATAAAATTTTTGTTCTTTGCTGACAAAAAACTGATCCATGTGATTTTTGACTTCCTCATTTGAAGTAAAGGTTTTACCGTCTAAAAAATTTTGTAGAGACCGGAACAAATAATAATGAGAAGGTCCAGATCTGGAGAATATGGTGGGTGTGGCAGTATATCCCATCCAAGCTGTAAAAGCTTTTGGCGAGTTACCAAACTTGTATGAGGTCTCGCATTATCTTGGTGGAACTACACTTTTCTATTGATCAATTCTGGCCTTTTCTGTTTAAATGAATCATTCAATTTGTCCAGCTGATGACAGTACACTTCAGAATTGATCGTTTTGTCCGGTAGAAGCTCAAAAAAAAAACGATTCCTTTGAAATCCCACCAAACAGATAGCATCACCTTTTTTTGATGAATATCGGCTTTCGAAGTGCTTTGAGCCGGTTCATCTTTTTTACTCCATGATCTCTTGCGTTTAACATTATTGTAGACAACCCATTTCTCGTCCCCAGTGATGATGCGCTTCAAAAATGGATCATTCTCTTGACGTTTGAGAAGCAAATCACAGACGTCAATGCGACGGCACAAATTTCTTTCCGAAAGAACATGAGGAACCCATATGTCGAGTTTTGAGATTAAACCTAGGCGTTTCAAATGATCATGAACGGTCGAATTCGATAAATTTAAATTTAATCTCTCAGCAATCTCACGAGTTGTTATTCGCCGGTTTGCATCAATTAATGCCTTTATTGTGTCTTCATCAGTTTCAACTGGCCTTCCAGAATGTGCATCTTCAACATCAAAATTGCCGGATCAAAATTTTGCAAACCAGTTTTGGCACTGGCGTTCTGTCAATACATCTTCTACATACACATCGGATAATTTTTTTCTTGCTTAAACAGCATTTTTACCTTTTCGATAGTAAAAAAGTAAAATATGCCGAAAATGCTGCTTTTCACTTTCCATTTGATAGGGCACCAAAAACTACTGCGTAGAATCAATCAAACTTTTTTCACAAGCAAGCCTTGCTATATCAGCTGTAAAAATATATAATGATTGTGCGGCTTAAGTGTGAAGTTGGCTGTGAAAAAATAATTAAGTCCTCTGTTGGGAAAAAACGAAATTACTTTCCGAACAACCCAATAGAATTAATATAAATAAATAAATAAAATAAAATATTAATCTATCAGCTTCTATACTCGGAGTCGTGAGTCAAAAATAAGATATAAAAAAGAATAAATTCTACATAAAAATTATGCGTTTCGCGGGTTTTCTTCGTGTCCAGATAAATTCTTGGAATGCCAAGAATGGATCTGGACACGGAGGAAATCCGCAAAATGCATAATCTTTACATAGAAAGCATTCGTGGAAGCCTCAAGAATAAATTCTGTCGTCCGGTACATTATATATAATCATATAAATAAGATATATAATTTTCTTCCGGCCTATAATTGTCGTCTGGTACATTATATATAATCATATAAATAAGATATATAATTTTCTTCCGGCCTTTTAATTACATTCCCACTTGCAGGCGGTCAGGGAATCGGACTCTTCTGCCAGATCGTTCCTGGTTCCATCCGGGAAGGCCACGTGTTTACGTTCTGTCTCACACTGTCATTGCTCAACTTGTTGTGGATGACTGTAACAGTATATTGTCCTCTTTCGTTTTAGCATTTGATATTATATAGATGACTTTATACGATCTACAGAAATCGTAATATCTTTGCTATGCATGCGCAAATCTTATCAGCTCTCTTAATAAGATACGGCCTCTTGTAGAGCTGCTGCAATAATCCCTTTGAACTATCACGGCACATAAACACTTGATCGGTCGTAGCTAAGTCCTTGAAAATGAACGGTCGTCGCTCTCCGTGCCTACTTCCTTTGAATGGCTGCACATCTTGAAACGTCTTCGTAGTTCGGCAACAAAATCGGTATCGTCCGAGTCTTCAATCGGTTGTCGACCCAAAAATTGTACCCTAGCAGTTGCAGCAACTGTCCATACACAATGGTGAACATTTTTGCCGCAGTTGACTGAAGGTCTCCCTTCCAGGCCACTCGTACATCTAGAAGAACGGTCGGCAGTTTGGTCCAATGGTTATCCTCATTTTATTGCTGCCTTAAGTTGACGATGGAACCGTTCTATCATCCCGTTCATTTGTAGATGGTAAGCTGCCATCCTCAGGTGGTACGCTCCCGTCAGCTTGATCAATTAACGAAGAAGACGGGACTCAAATTGCCGTCCCTGGTCTATTATAATCCACACAGGCATTCCAAATCGACAAATCTAACTTTTGTACAAGGCTGTGGTGATGATCTCTGCCTTCTGGTTTTTCAATAGTAACGCCTCAGGTCATTGTGTACAACAATCTACACACGTGAGGCAGTATCGTTTCCCTTCCGAAACTGGCACAATAATGTCTAAGTGAACGTGCTCGAACCTTGTATGGTACAGTTAATGCTCCAATCGCCGAGCCGTGACGAGAGATCTTCAACTTTTGATATATACGCACTGGTCCAGCTGCGGCGCACATAGACGGCCAAACAAAGCGCTGCGTCACGAGCTTGCCTGTCGACTTAATATCTACATGAACTAGGTTGTGGACTAAACTGAATGCGATTCGATGGAAGGGTCTCATCACAAATGGGCACCGTTGTATCGCAGAATACTGTCATTTCGGTCCCAAGAACCTCTTACTCCAAGTCGGATGTGGGGGGAGGCTCAAACATCTTTTCAACTCTTCATCATTCTCCTGCGAACTCGCAAGTGCAGCAAAGTCTAATAGCAGCTGCAGTTCCTCTATTCTCGACAGCGTGTCGGCTACGACATTGTCATCGCCAGACACGTGCCATATGTCTGTTGTAAACTATCCAAGATGGTCCAAATTGCAAAATTGGCATGGCGTGCACTTCTCCATTTGAAAGCAGCGGTTTATGATGATCAGTGTAGATGGTGAACATCCGTGCCTCCAGCATATGCTGAAAATGTTTCACCGCCAAGTACAACAGCTCCCTATCGAAAGCACTATACTTCGATTTGATCGAGCTTAGTTTCTTTGAAAGCTAAAGGTTCCCTCAGCTATTATCACCTCGTTGTTATAACGTCGCTCAGACGCTGTGGTCGGACGCGTTGGTAAACAATGCTAATTCAGTGTCAATTCTTGGATGTGCCAGCAGAGTCGCTTGAGCCAGGCCCTCCTTCGACGCCTCAAACTCGCTGAGCGTCGCCGTGCGGGATCTATGCTACCGTCTTTCCTTTGATGTTATTATGAGGTCATTAAACGACGCAGCAGCTTTCGGCAGAAATCTTCTATAGAAGTTCAGTATCCAAATATCTACAAAGGTCTTTAGCTATTCGGCCTCTCATACTCCCTGATTGCTTGCACACGCGCAAGCAGCGGTCGAATTCCTTCCTCGATGATCAAGTAGCCAAGGAACTCCAGTTCCAGCTAACCAAATACGCACTTGATCGAGTTGATAACAACTTCATATTTCTGCAATCTCTCAAATAATATTTCTAAGGACTTTATATGTTCTTCAGTAGAAAACAAACTAGAATGTCATCAATATGTAGCACCAATCAAGGCCATGCAGAACTTTATCCATAAATCGCTGGAACGTCTGCGCCGTGTTCCGCAATTAAAAAGACATACGAGGTCTGGCTATTAAATAACGAGACTGCTTATGAAAAAGAGTTTTATTTTAAAAATTATTCTATTATACAATTGAATGCTCGCCTTCAATGTACTCCCCTCCCCTCGCCACACACCGTTCCGTTCGTTTTTTCCATTGGTCAAAGCAATGCTGGAAGTCTTCTTTTGTAAGAGCATTTAGGAGCTCCGCCGATTTTCGCTTCACCTTTTCCATCGACTCGAACCGGGTTCCTTTTAAGGCAGACTTGATCTTCGGAAACAGGAAAAAGTCACAGGGTGCTAAATCAGGCAAGTACGGCGTGTGTTCGAGCACTGGAGTGCCTCTAGCGGCTAAATAACGCTTCACAGACAGCGCGTTATGGACAGGTGCGTTGTCCTGGTGTAAGATCCACGACTTGTTTTTCCACAACTCCGGCCTTTTCATACGAACTCGCTCTCGCAGTGTTGCCAAAACTGTCAAATAGTAAGTTTGGTTTACAGTTTGACCCTCTGGAACCCATTCAGTCATCACGATGCCGTTGATGTCGAAAAAAACGATTAGCATGGCTTTAAATTTTGATTTCGACATCCTTGCTTTTTTCATTCTTGGCGATGCAGGAGTTTTCCAGTGCATGGATTGCCGCTTAGTTTCAACATCGTATTGGAATATCCAGGTTTCATCGCAAGTGATGATGTTTTCCATCAATTCAGGCTCTTCATCTAACCTCTCAAGAAAATCTGAGCAGATCTGTTGACGGACGAGCTTTTGGTCAGGGGTCAAATTTTTTGGGACCAACTTCGCACAGACTTTCTTCATGTTTAATTCGTCATGTAAAATTTTTCTGACAGTTTCTTTATCGGCGTTTACAGTCTCAGCAATCATCCGAATGCTCATACGACGATCTCCGCGCACAATTTCATTGATTTTGGTCACTGTTTGCGGAGTTGAAACAGAGACAGGTCGACCTGGACGTTGGTCATCTTCGGTGCTCTCTCGGCCTTCAGAAAACCGTTTATACCATTCGAAAACGCGCACGAGATAGAGAATTCTCACCATAGGCCTCTTTCAACAACTTATAGCACTCAGTCGGAGTTTTTTTTAATTTAACGAGAAATTTCACATTGATCCGTTGCTCGTGTTTTTCGTCACACATTGTTATCGGCACGAGAAAAAAATAAGTTCGTTTCTAACCTCTATAGAAAAAATACTACTACTGCGACAAAAACGTGTTTTCGTACTGGAATAGTAGATACTTCCAGCTATCCAACACTGCATTCGTTTCCCACCCTACCCCTCTAGGACGCCTTCTGCGCGCGCAGTCTCGTTATTTAATAGCCAGACCTCGTATATAGTAATTCATACCAAATGGCGTTGTTATTGCTGTCTTTGAGACATCCTCTTCAGCCACCGGAATCTGATTCGACGCTCTAACCAGATCTGTGGTGGTAAAGATCCTCTACCTTGAAGCGCATGTGTGAAATTCTGTATATGACGCACAGGATAACAGTTCGGTATTGTTCGTGCGTTCAGTGCTCGGTAGTCTTTGCAAGGACGCTATTCCTTATCCCTTTTTGGTACGAAATGTAAAGGTGACGACCAACAGCTCTTCACGCATGGACGCGCAA